GGTTTATCTTTATTATCCGTATTTATTTTCAAAATAAAGTGTATCTAAAGCTAAATGCACCTTCGTTTGTCCGTTCAATCATTTTACTGCTCCACATCTGTAATAAAACTAATTCATTGTTCCAGATATGTGACAAAAACAACTCAGTCAGCAGCCTGCTCTTTACTTACCTGGAAAATCTTCTGTGTCTCTCTGCCAGGTTTTCCAGTCACAGACATTTCCACAGTCAAAGGTGAGAGTTTTATGTTTTTTTATGCTTAACACAGTTATAATTCTTCAATATACACTTGTTGAGTTTGTTAAAATAACACAGTATAACAAGCACAGCTATAATGTGGATTAAAGTTAGTCGACTTGGTTTGTCACAAGAATAATTGCAACTGCAATAGAAAACCACTAGAGGGCAGCAGTGTATTTATTTCTTATTGGCCTCTTCCTTTTTTTTTAAACACTCGCTGAGCTTCTTAGTGTTTGAAGGAACAGCAGCACAAATATTTACGTTTTAAGGTGTTTTTTATATTTCAAAGACGATTTTTGTCTGATTGTTTGTGTGCTGGAGCTCTGGTTTGTATTTAAATTGTGTTTACAGCAAAAAATGATCATAATTACAGAAAACTCTTTATTTCAAACTGATTTCCAAAGCGAAGGAAGTTGAGTTTGTTTGATTAAAACTAGAAGAAGTGTTCATAATATGAAACACGAGTCTCCTTTAAGATAGAGCCCTCATTCTTTCTCACACCCTGCTCCGTTGCCTACCCCCCTCTCTGGCTCCTGATAGGGCAGACATGGAGTCAACGGGGGAGGAGGAGGAGAGAGGGAGGGATGGAGAGGATATGAGAGTAGGAACCGGTAGAAACAAAGAAACGCTGCAGGTGTTGTGAAGCTGAGCATGCTCCAGAGTGTGATAGGTCGGGCTGTCAGAGGAGACGGACAGGTGACTGAGATCTTGTGATCACTGGAAGACKCCAGCTGCTCAAGTTTGATCTGGTCCTAGAAGAGTTTAGTTGATTTTAGACCGAAGTGCGGAGCAGAAAATGGCCCTTTTTACCAACGACGCGCCGAGTCTGGGCGCCTATTACTGCCTGATCCGACGCAAGTTTAAGAGGAGGCGGAAGAAACGCTCCGAACGCAAAGGTAACCCAGAGTGCTGAGCTGCTTTGTGGACAGGGCAGGATCTTTTTCTATATATTTTTAATGTTTTCAGACTGTTGTGTCTTGATGCAGCTTCTAGTTTTTCAGATTATTTTTTCTTATGTCTTGTAGTTGTTCTGAGATTTTAAATAGAATCACCAAGTGTTCATTTTAAACTTATAAAACTGTCAATATTCCCCATCAAAACTTGAAAGTTGTCAAAAATAATGCTGCTTAAAAACTACTACAAAAACAATGCACCTACTTACTTATACTCTGTACTCATTTATCGATCATTAATGTTTCTAAATTCTAAACGAGTTGATAAAGGAAAAAAAAGTTGTAATTATGACTTAATTGTTTCTTTATTAATTTAATCTGTCAGTACAGTTAAATGTACTCAATCAAAACATAGAAAAATGTTATCCTGAACTATATAAAAGTCTGAATGAGTTTACTCCAGTAGGTTTCAACATATGTGTGTGTGTGTGTGTGTGTGTGTGTGTGGGGGGGGGGGGGTAGTTTTAAAATGCAGGTACACACTCATTGTAAATAAAGAACATCTGCGTAGTTTACTCAACAAATATGAGCATAAATATATCCCATTACATCTAAATGGTTTGACTTTTCTATTGACATCATTGATCATGTCATACCGGCAGTTTCCAAAAATGAATGAATGAATGAATGAATGAATGAATGAATGAATGAATGAATGAAAACGCAGCCAATCACAAACTTTGCCTAAAAAAATAATTTAAGGACGCATTCAACATCAATATGATGAAAAGTATTTTCTAATTTAATTTCTTAGTTTGTAAGTTTATTTTATATGTTACAATTTAATCTATTTCAAAGGAAGAATAAAATAAAGTTCTGCACTGACCAGATCATAGATCCTGGATCTTCTGGATTCCTTTTGCAATAATGCTTAACTCACTTGTGATCTAATGTTTGGGCTTTYATTTTTTGTTTTGTTTTGTTCATTATTTTTTTTGGTTTTATTGTGAAATTTTAATACTCAACCTCCTTAATAAAATATAAACATAAATACTCTTAAGTCTTCTGAATCTGAAGATACATTTTRTAAATTAAGTTACTGGTGTTGAGAAAATTTTCAAACAATGTGTCCAATCTTTCTTTTTCCTTTTTTTTTTTTTTACTTTTTTACATTTAGGTCAAGTTTAATGTTGCGTTTTACCATTTAAGAATGATTCATTTCCTGTTTGTTGCAATGAGGTGTTAAAAAGATTCATTAAACACGAGTTCTCTGAGTTGTTCTCGACATCAGCTGGTTGTCAGAGCACTGTGTCGATATCAAGTCTCTCCCCCAAACAAAACAGAAGCTCCTTCATGTTAAAAAGTCACAATTAATTTATAGAATTAACATTTTCCTCGTCATCCTTTGCTCTGTATCTCGGGACGAGGCGGATGTCTCTGGATTTATAAAGTCCAACGACGAGGCGCGAGCGTTTCCCTCCTCAGTTTGCTGCTGCGCTCTGGGGATTAGCCAAACAGCAAAGGTAGTAATTACTTAGGTGGCCACAGCTCACTGGCAGTATTAGCCGTGTCTCAGCCACTTTCTTTGACATCCACCACCCTCCACACCAGCGCCCCCCCCACCTCAGCCGTCAACTCCATTCATCCACATAAATCCACCGCTGCTGATGATGCATTTTTAGCCTTTGATTTGAGCACTCAAGCCCCGCTCAGCCAGAGGGTGACTATGTCTATCAGCATTACACAGGTCTGTTTCCCGCCTTTTCCCTCTCCCTTATCACCTGGGAAGGAAAGTGGCTATTTTTTCTTTTTTTTTTTTCTAACTGGAGAAAAGCGATGACGAAGCAAAACTTTAGCTGGATGTTGCTCTGCTCAGTCTTAGTCAGCTTTAATGCCTTAAATTCGAGGCCTCCTGAAAAGTTTGTTCAGTGCTTTGTATCAATGCTTGAAGGGTTAGCAGCTAATGCTAGCTGTAGCTGAGATAAGGAGGTTATATATGTGAGACATCTTTGAGAAGTTGTCCAAACCACAGGTACAATTCCACTTTCACAAAGCTATTTATTTCTCACATCCCGACTCCATTTGTCTTTTGACCGGACTGATCGGAGTGGTTTTACATTTAAATGATGACAAACTGAATGTACCACTCGGTAATTGGTGTGCAGTCGTAATATAATGGCTGATGGATTCATGAAGGCTTACCAAGCATTCAATACGTCCACAGCAGAAGACAAGAGGGCGATACGATGAGGCTGTTAAAGGAGCATCTAACAGATTAATCAATCGGCTCGATCAGAAAGTGAGAAACAAAAAAGAATTATGACATTTCTATTCATTTTGATCATTGGGCATTGTTCAAATATTGGCTGGTGCTCAGATGACCTGTAATTGTGACTTAGTGATCAGTTTAGAGGCACCGTTTTTTAGCACGGACAAAGCACCATGTTGGCAGTAAGGATTTAAGGAAATAAGGTTTGCTTTTAAAATCTCACTATTGCAGTTTTTCTGCTTTTTAAATATTTTTTTATTTACCATATGGTAAGGCTAAATGTGAGGTTTAGAAATCCAAAATTAATCTTCTTTAAAATCCTGCAATGTAATGAAAAAAAAAGGCTTAATAAAATAATTACTGATGGATTAACTTGCAGCAGTGAAAGAAATGTACCTTTCTGAAGTCAATTACCGTACTGTGAACTGTGACTTTGAAAAGGCTGAACTTAAGCACATCTTCCGAGTTCTTCGGTGCATCTCTCATAAATGTGCCAAACCATGACACTTGCAGACGACGCTTTCCAATGGGCCGTATATGAAATATGGAAAACGGAGAACAGAGGTCTTTTCTGCTTTGCCAGCAAAATCTTTAAAATGAGCTTTTGCAACTTGAACAGTGTGGGAGGGGGATCTGCAACGCCTGACTCTTATAATATTTCTCTAAAAAAAAAAAACGACATTTTTCCTCCAACAAGACTTTTTTTTATTTCTCTATCTTTACCCTTATTTCTAAGTTTTTTCTCCTCATACTTACTCGCCTTCGACTCATTTACTTCTTTATTTGCACCTTTTTTTAATTTGTTTTGAAAAATAATTTAATAATTGTATGCACATTTTGTACGGTAAATGGTTTTGCTGTTTGTGTTTAGAATAAACTCAGCTGTCAGAGTTAGACACAAAAAGAGACAGAAAATGATTAACTTTTGACATCAGCATCAAAGAAGTTAAATAGAAAACGCAGTCGCATTCATTTACCTCACATAAAAGCGGCTGTTGATTATAAGCGCTGCCTCATTGAGCACTACAAACACAGCAGCACTCTGTCATGATAAGAAATGAGTTGTGTCTGCCTGTCTCAATGTAATTAGCTTTGATTAGCATGCTGCTAATGACTGTGACAGACTGTCGAAGGGAAAGGCAAACAGTGAGACTTCACAAACCTCTGAGGTGGGTTTTGCTGGCAGCGAGATTTTGATTTATTTGAGAAAATGCAGAGACTGACGTCTTCATTTATGTGGTTCCAAAATATTTCTCAACCTCAATTTWAAAAATGTTGAGGTGTTTTGTAAACTGTAAATAAAAACACAATAAAATAGTTATAAAACTGTTTGATTCGTAAACCAATTAACATAACGTAATTTAAATGTTATGGCAGCAACAAAATAAAWACAAAAGTCATATCAGGCTACAAAMGGCTCCRTTATATTGTTTATTAGGTTATTTTGGCAACAGGTGAGTATAAAACAGCGTTTTAGAGAGGCTAAATGTCTTAGAAATAAAGATGGTCTGCAAAAAATTATCTAAAAAAGAGGAAAAGTTTCATAAAAATGCTTTTTTGAAAAAGATCAGAGCATGCAAAATCCACTTTTTTTAGCTGTTAAATACATTGAGACACTGTGAACTATTATGTCACAGTATTTGTGACAACTACAATCTGGTGGTCTTCATTCTCCTCTGGTTCTGGGTCAGACTCTGGGTCCAACATGTAAGGCTGGAGGGACAAGTCTTCTCTTGTTGACATATTTTAATTTATTTCTAAATAAAAAGTTTCTGTGCAGCTATATAGTGGTAAACCCCTCTATCAAACTGGAGTGGACCGGTCTGGAAGCT